TTAATTTTTGTTAAATAATACTAATTTCATTTTACATACGGTAGATCGAGAGAAACAAGAGGAAGTAATGAAGACGAAGATGTTCCTGCTGTTGATGATGATGATGATGATGATGTATTAGTAGTTGAAGCATTTTTTTTTGAGGATGATTGTAAATTTTTTCCAAGAATTCGACTGAAAATTGAAGCCATTTATATTGTGAAGATTAGTAATGGAAGAAATTAGATAGAAGTACAAAATATAAAATCCAACAATTTAATTTTCGAACGAAATGTTATTAACTATATCATCATAATTTTTTTGCTTCTGCTTTTATTTTATTGTACAATACGTCTTTTCCAATAAATAACAATCTCTATCAACAATTGATAGATAACGCCATCTAGTGATCTAAGTTGAGAGATATAGAAGTATTTGAACATGATATATATATATGTATTCTTTTTTTTTTTTTCTTTTTGGAATCGAAGAAAGAGAAAACACTTATTTCATAATAATATATTTCTCTATCACAGTTGTTAAAATCGATTGATCTATGATATATATATATATAAAAAAACAAAGAAAGAAAGAAATATCAATGCCTAATAAGGACACGAACAGAATCAACACAAGCAAAAAAAAGGAAAAAGAAAAAAAAAAAAAGAAGCGAAAGATTTATTTTAAGAGAATTCATATGCTTGTGGTTTATGAGCACCAGCACAGGCATGTAGTGATGCTGTAATTGCTTCTTCGGATAAATCATCTTCAGAATTAGCATAGATTTGTATATGATAACCGTTAAAAAATCTTTCAAATTCATGTTTATGCGTTGATACACGAGCACGACGTATTGGAGTCTAATTAAATAGAATATTTACATATAAAAAAAAGTTTATATAAAAAATCTAATAATACTTACTACACCGGCTCCAACATATGTAATGAATACAAATTTAGCTCGTTTACTTCCATGATCATCAACAGCTCGAACACGAGCAACACCATAATAAACTTGATTCGGATTTAATTGTGTTTTCATTTCTGTTAAACCACCTGTACCTTTCCCACTAAGTACAATATCACTATTATCACCATAACTCAATAAAATCCTAGATTAAAAGAATAAAAAAAAAAAAGCCAAAACAATCAAAATTATTAAGAAAAAACAACGGAATCAAGTCATACCAATTAGTATCTGTTGCATCATTTCTAACCTCTTGCCAAGCTTCTTGAATTTCTGTACTACTTAAATCAACTGAACGTTTTGGTCCTGCCATAGTTATAATATGCAAAGAAAAACTAATATATATATAGGGTTATTTTACTCTTGCACAGCTGAATCACACAACTATAACGAATAAAAAATAATAGTGTATATAATAATCTGTTGCGCATCGCATTACATCTATGTTAGATAACCTTTTTTTTTCTCGCCCGGCCCACAAACATCATTTGATAGAGAGAAGAAGAAGAAAAAAAAAAAGATGAAAACGACATGGACTATTAACGTACTCCGAAAGATATTGTTGTTGTTGTTGATGATGATAATGATGAAGCACATCATATCATATCTTTTTCCTACTGTAAGAAATAAATTTTGGCATGAAAATTTTTTATATATACTTTATTTTATAAGCAAAAAACAAAACAAACTTATGGACTTAATAAAAAAAAAAAAGAACAACAAAAGCAAAACAAAAATGAAAAAAAGTAATGTTTCAATCAATAAATAATAGCATTTATTTCTTTAATTTAAAGATCACGTGATCGAATATAAAGAAATTTTCTATCAAGATAACTTTAAAATATTTGATAAAAGTACAAAATAAATTTGACCTTGTATATGTATGTGAACCTATTTTCATTAACTTATAACGAATTTCTTTTTTTTAATATTTATTTGATGACTAATATTTTACTATATGAACAACCATCAGGTCAATGATCACCTTTACCTCAATATCATATACATGTACATATGGTAATGAATGAGTAAAATGTATTTTATATTTTAAAGTACTAGTTTCTCGACAATTTATATTCATTACAGCATTAGATAGACTATCAAGAACTACGTAAAATACAAAAAAAAAAAAAAAAGAATATGAAACTTAATGTTGATAAAGACAATACCTCACGTAGCGGTAATATATAATGTTTTAACAAGTTCTATAATATTGATAGTATTAGGTAGATTTTTTAAATTAGATCGTGTCAGATTTTTAATAATTTTTCATGCATCAATACACTACGTCGAATAATGTTTTGATTCATGAATATATATATCAATTCATTGATCTAGTTGTGTCACAATAAGATACAATAACTAATTTATTAAATATTTCATGTTTACAATCTGTTTTAAATGTTATTTGGTTCACATAATCATAAATCATAATTATTATGAATACATGTATATCATCGATCATTGGAATGTTTAACATTAAGATAAAGATTAGCAACACAATTCTCATTGTTCGGACATATTTTTAGATGAGACTATGCTCGACCTTTTACATTCATATGATTCATCTGGTTTATATTCTCGATGTTTTCTTTTTTGTTTTGACTAGAAATGGTTAATAAGTATTTCGATGAAAAATAAATACTTTGAATTCGTTATTCTAAATAAATAATAAAAAACAATTATAGTATTTTATATGTTTGATATGCTATTTTTTTTTTATGAATGATACTTTATTCGATGAGTATTTGTACTATGATAAAGATTTCTAAGACTATAAGATAATTGACAAACATAACAACATTCAGAACTTTGACTTACACATTGATAGGCAATTTTACAATCATGTATTTCATTTGTATGAGTATTTACACTAAGTGAAATGCCTAGTCGAGATATATATTTACCATGTAAATAAAACAAAAAAAAAACACAAAATTTTACTTCAAACTCATATTGACCTTGATCAAACAGGCCAATGAATGTATTAAGGTTGGAATACTTTGCTTCCGATATGTCGTCGGATCATAGGGTACTTCATGAATTTTTAGGACTTGAGTATAAAATGCTCAATGCACTAACTTGTTAGGAAATTTTTCATAGAATATTAACACGAAAAGGTACTTTACTGACGTATGACCCGATGTGCGAGTTCCTCGAGCTCATTGGATTAAGCGGGTAGATTGTAAAATTTCATAAAGATATATGTTTCATTCATTTTTCGATTTTTTTCAGCTATTTTATCACTAATAGCACAAACAACTTGTCATTCATATTGATGTAGTTAAGTGTTCCCATAAAAAGTCTAACTTCTACAGGGCACATGGGATATTGGTGAACCTTTGCATAAATAAAAACGATTCCCACGTCTATGCCTTACCGTTCAGAAGTTTTTCAAATATCCAATTGCAAAGCTCTGGTTATTTTCATCGGAAAAAGAATTCTTTAACATTTCGAATGACAAAAAAGATTTTCTTCTTTATCTTTTGCACTGTTCCATTTCTCGGATCATCTGTAATTGAAAAATCTGTAATTTCAAGTCTGAGATTTCCGGAAAACCCAGAATTTATCTAGTATTAATATTTGATTAGGAAATTTTCTTCCCTCATCTGAAGAACTATACATATATCTATCGATTGAAAGAAATGCCACTCCTCATGACGAAGTATATTGAGAAAAAAGAAACAATAACAGATTATTTTTCTGATTTGCGCGTTGCTGTATAGTTTTTTAAAGACTGATAAGAATGGCTACTTTTTACTGGTAATTTATAAGATATATGATATGTTGTTGAATATAAAACATCTACTGTCAGCCTGTGTGTGAAAAGAAGACTTACAGCCACACCCATCTAACTACACTAAAAGAAATTTACTGATTGCTGTAGATATCATTATTTGCCACGAGATTGTTTCAAAGGTCATTCATTAAAGCCGTAAAACCTACGAGAATCATGATGTTTTTGATTATTTCGATACTAGGTTGCTTAACTAACGTCTACAATTTTGTGCAGGAAGTTTAAACACTATGAATCTGGACAAGATGAATTGTAGCAAACAGATAAACATTTACATTGATAGGAATTATAAATTATTTAGTTGAATAAAAAATATTTTAAATGGAGGACAAAAAGTTAATCTAATCAAATACTTATTTTATCAAGAAAAAGTACAAATTCCAAGTTTGATATCAGCATAGGTCACTAATATCTCAAAGAAGATTTCTTTGAAAAAGTGAGTATTGTGTTACTGTTTCAAGTGAAAACTTTGACACATTTTTTTTAAATATAAGTTATTATATTTTTTGTAGTTGCAAGACTCTGGGGAAAACTTTTTTTAACTTGGCAACATTCTTACATTGGTTCACTGGATGTGTACTCGGCAAATAAATCGTGACCATTAAAAATTCACTATGTTTTTATTTTGTATGCAATACATAAAATTCAATCAACAGATCTATGAAATAAAAATTTGAATAATACAGTTTTTTTTTGTAGTTTTTCATAGAATTTTATGCATGGATTTACATATAAAGAAATGTAAAGAACGGTGCGTGAAACACAAATAAAAACAATAGAATGGAGGAAAAAATCCTCTGTTATAATTCATACTTTATCTAATAGATAATACTTTCAACCAAAATCAGTTCTCAAACTAGATAGTCAAGAGATAAAATCTTAGAAAAAAAAAAGTTCATTTCAAATTTCGTACATCTACTCCTAAAAGCACAACCCTTTCATAATGCAGAATATAATTACTCAAAAACAGATCGATCATAAAGATTAATTGTCGAAGATCATGATAATACTTCACAATTAACAAGCACCTTCACTGCTGAGTAAGATAATATATGTATATCGATCTAATTCGAACATAGAAGTTTTTTTGTAGATTGATAAAACCGATGGTAAATAAACATGTAATATCTGATCAAAGATTGTTGCAATTATTATTGTAATATGCATTGTTTTAACTGTAGCTATTGTTGTCGGTGTGGCAGTTGGTGTTAAGTCTAGACGAGGTATATCAGAAACAACAACAAATAATTTCACTTCATGCAAATATATTTCCCTATTCTTCGATTCACACATCTGGATGAAAATGTTTTCTTAGCTTCAGTATCAACAACAACCTTAGTCACTGGTATTAGTATAGGAAATCAAAGCGGATCACCTTGTTCATCGTATACAACCATCGATGATCCGTCACGAAATATTGCTCAATCGACATTATACGCTTTGTGTGATAAAGGATCACCATTCAATACGAGTAATGGTGGCTCTTGGATACGATTTATTGGTACTGGTGGTACTATTATTCCATTAATATCGCTTGGTATGGGTCACTGTAGTGCTTATACAGGAGGTTGGTTCAATGGAACGCTACCAACAACAGTGAGTGCTGTAGTTAATAGAACTGTATGCTTCACAACATCTCGAGTGCTTTGTATTTACAACCGTTTTGTGTCAGTAATTAACTGTGGTAGCTTCTATGTTTACTTTTTACCACCTGTGACTGTTTGTATTGTACGCTATTGTACAACATGACTGTGTTTGTTTGTAGAACTGATTGTGCGAATTCTGCAATAATTTAAAAAGAAACAAACTTTATGCTGACATTGATAGTTCTGTTTTAGCATTAAAATCTTCAAATGCAATTTTTCTAAATTTTAGATAAATCTCACACCGACATTATGTATGGATAGTTATCAGCTGCATTCTTGTTTTTTATTGTTTTAAGATATAGAGCTCCATTTGTTTTCGTAAGACTTACGAGAGAACGTTTTCAACTGTCAAATTCCTTTTGAGTTCAGACTTTGCGCATCAGACAGACCCTAGTGAGGTATGAAAAATCTCAAGAAATTAAATGACCTTAGGTCTTCTGTCCAGAGTTATAAGTATTTTACTGGAATTTTAGCCTAGAGCATGATATGTACGAATAAATTGAATGACGGTGTTTCGCTGTGAGACTTTGCCCACAGACAGGTCTATTGATGATTAGAACACCCTGAAAATTTCAACTCAAAAGAACATTTCCTTCCCGAGATATTAAAGTAAGAAAAAACAGAGAATTCTAGCATTTGTTGTCCTATATCAGTCATTTTTGGGACATTAATATCTCTAGAAGGAAATGTTCTTTTGAGCTAAAATTTTCAGGTTATTCTAATCATCAATGGACATGTCTCTGGACAAAATCTCACAGTGAAACATCATCATTCAATTTGTTCGTACATACCATGCCCTAGGCTAAAATTCCAGTAAAATGCCTATAACTCTGAACAGAAGGCCTAAGGGTATTTAATTTCTTAAGATTTTTCATACCTCACTAGGGTCTATCTGATGCACAAAGTCCGAACTCAAAAGTGATTTGACAGTTGAAAACGTTCCCTAGTCAGTACGATACCCATCCAAGATCCTGTAACAAACTGGTAACAGAGTACCCGAAAAGATACTCAATTGGCAGAAGATCCAATACACAAGTACCTCGAACTCAGCAAATTCATTTAGGCATATTTTGAAGATCTGTAAGAATATATACCTCACATTCATTTGTCGATCTTTTTCAACTGTTTTATAACCAGTAGCAAATACATCTTGTTGTTCACATTTGTGTAACAATATATGAATTGAAATGCACACATGAAATATTAACATGTATTCTGAATATTTTTCTCCATTGTAATGTCGATTATTATAATCATATTTGTCATTATTTACAGATTAAATATCAAATGTACGAAGCATTTTAGAGTCTTACCTAATTATATATGATTTTCAATCTTGATCAAAAAGTCACAATATGAATTTATTATTGTTTGTATGCATAATTGACATTTTATTTTACATGTATGATCTACATTACGAGTATAATGATCACAACGCTTGAAAAAATTTTGAACATAAACAGTTTACAATGATGTTTTCGAAGTTATAATTGAGAAGATAATTACAAAATAAAATGATTTAACTTTAAGCAACGATATAAAAATCAATGATTTTTGTTAACATTGATCGTTTATTCACCATTGATTTATGAACACATAATTGTGAGACTAGCAAGAAATTCTATTCCCTTTATTCAACAAAAAAATAAATGTAACAAAAGCTGCTGCATGTGATCAATTTCCATGTGAAAACTTGATTTTTCAAAATGATACAAGCATTATCTAAGATTTTTTCCATCAAATGATTTTTGTTGTTGATCTATTGTACTAGTTGTATCTCGTCGATCAATATCTCTGATTACTTCTATATTAAGATTGCCAGCATCTAGAAGTTAGTCTCTTTTCGCTAACAATGTTTTTCGTCGGATGTCGGTGTTGGAAAAGAAGAAACCTATAGACACATCCACGTCGCACTCTGATAAATCTCTGTCTAGATATACTGTATATTGAATCCAAACCTTTTTGGTTTCATGTTGACATAGGTATAATCTTATAAAGCATTTAGATAAAGGCACAAATCTTATATCTGTTAAGTGATCTTTCCTTCTGTATGTTGTAGCTTTTCATATCGATCAAAGCCATAGATATTGTCTATTGTAACGTTCTTCATGGAATATATTGTTTACAGGTTTGATAGTTTGTAGTATGCTACATGATTCAACGCATGCTCATGTCCATAATTAATAGTATTCCTAAAAAAATCTAACTTCCACAGGGGCATGGAATATTGATGAAACTTGGCATCGATGTTTGGATCATGGAAGTACATTAATAAAAACAATTTCATGTCACCATACATCACTATTCAGAGAATTTCTAAATATTAAGCTCGGAAGCTTGGGTTGTTTTCATTTTGAACAGAACTCCTTACCAATTCGGGTGAAGGAAAAGACTTCTTTAATTTTTACTCTATTTTGTTTTGCGGATTATCTATAGTTAAAAAAATCTGAAGTTTCTGTCCTTGATTGTTTTAGAAAACTTAGAGTTTATCAATCATCGACGATTCATTATAAAATCCCTTTGCTTTCTCTGAAGGACTATGCGTATATCTATTGCTTAAAAAGCAATATAGTTCATCAGAATGAAATATATAGAGAAAAGAATTCGTTCACATTTCGGTTATGACCGAAAAAAATCAATTTTCAGAAAAAATAGAAGAACAACAAATAAAGTCTTTAACTTAACTTGTTGCCTTACAGATTGTCAGAGACTGATAATGATGATCAGTTTCCACTAGTAACTTCTACGAAATATGTTGTTTTACTCTATATAAAATATCTATTTTCATGATGTAAGTGAAGAGAAGATCCGCAAGATTTGAGTATCTTGAAAAAAATGTTTGTTTATTTTGCGAATCTAACTATACACAAAATTTACTGATTGCTTCAATCATTATATTTGTACAGATACTTCGAAAGATCATTCATTGAAGCCGTAAAAACCTTTGAGATTCATGGCAATTTTGATTGTTTCAAAACCAGAAAATTCCGGCAACATGTTAATATCTTTATCTCAAAGATCAGTTTGTTTTTTTGATGAAAATAGAGTTTTCTGAGGAAGTGTTTGAAATTTCTAATTTTCATCAGAAAATTTTGAGAAAAAAACTATGAATCTAACCAAGATGTTTGTACCAATAGAGTTTACTTATTACATTGATGTGATTTGAAAATACTGTAGTTAAATAAAAAAAAACATTTTTTAAAGGAAAGGAACAAGTCAGTCTAATCGAATTCTAATTGTGTCATGAAAAAATAAAAATTCTAAGTTTCATTTCAACAATACCTCTAAAATATCACAGAGGATTTTTTTTGAAAAAATAACTACAGTAATAAAAGCTGTTGTTTCAAGTGAAAAATTTCGAAACATCTTTCTAATACAAGTTATCATATTTTTCTAGTAACAAGACTATTCTAAAAATTCGTTTTTCATTTTGACAACATTCTTAAATCTGTTTGCTTAATTTATCCTCGGAAAAAACAACATGGTCATCAAAATTTCACTACTGTTTTGTTTTTAAAGCAATACACAAAATTTAAACCACAGATCTATGAAATAAAAATTTGAATAATACAATTTCTTTTGTAGTTCTTCATAGAATTTTATGCACAGATATATATATATAAAGAGAAGGAGAGAATGATACATAAAACAGAAACAAAAACAATAGAATCGTTTCAATCAGAATTGAATGACAGAAGCAATCCTGTGTTGCAGTTCATACTCTACCTAATAGACAACATTTTCAACCACAATCGATTATCAAATTAAATAGTCAAGAAATAAAACCTAAGAAAAAAAAAGTTCAATTCAAGTTTCGTACACCCATTCCTAAAGCACGAGCATTTGAAAATACAGAACTTACTCAAAAACCAATCGATCACAAAGATCGATTTGTCGAAGATCATGATTATACTTCACAATCAACAAGTATCCTTACTACTGAGTAAGATTATATATATATATCGAATTCATTAAAGCATAGAAGTTTTTTTGTAGATTGCTAGAAACCAATCGTAAACAAACTGGCAGTACCCGATCAAAGATTATTACAGTTATTATTGTAATAACTGTAATTATTTTAATTGTGGGTATTGTTGTCGGTGTGGTAGCTGGTGTTTCTAAGTCTGAACAAAGTACATCGGAAACAACGACAATAAATAATCAAACTTCATGTAAATACGGTGTTTCTATTGTTTGATTCAGATATTTGAACGAAAATGTTTTCTTAGTTTCAGTATCAACAACAACCTTAGTGAGTAGTATTAGTATAGGAAATCAAAGTGGACTACCCTGTTCATCATATACAACTATTGATGATCCATCACGCAATGTTGCTCAATCATCATTATTCGGATCATGCGATAATGGATCACCATTCAATGCGAGTAATGGTGGTTCTTGGATACGATTTATCGGTACTGGTGGTACTATAATTCCATTAGCAGCACCTGCTCAAGGTCATTGTGGTGCTTACGTAGGAGGCTGGTTCAATGGTATATTACCGACAACAGTGAGTTCTGTAGGTAACGGAACGGCATGCTTCTCAATGAATACAGTTCCTTGTTTTCTCGCCTCCTCTGTATCGATAATTAATTGTGGTGGTTTCTATGTTTACTTTCTACCACCTGTCTCTGTTTGTAATACACGCTATTGTACAACATGACTATATTTTTTTGCAGAATTGAATGTGGCATTTTTGCAATAATTTCAAAAAAAACTAACTTTATGATAACGATTTTAAATAGAAGAGTCGACAGTATGGATGACGTTACGCCTTATTTAGCATCATCATATCATTAATCGGATCGTTCACATCAAAAGTACACGTTTTTATACGCCACTATGAGAGAAAAAAAAGAGAATAAAAAGACGAGAGAAAGCGTCAAGAAGAGAGAGATGGTGAAGGAGGTACAGTTAAGACAAAAGGAAGGGCAAAGAATGTGATAAGGAGAAATAACAAAGCAGGGTTAAATATCATGTACAAACAGCAAATTCAACCAAGCAGTGGAAGCAGATGATAGTACAAAGCAAATTCAACTGCGAACGTTGCACTTATACTAATATGGATGGTTTCATTTCAGCTTTTAAATCCTCAAATGCAATTTTTCTTAGTTTGCAACAAACTTAACAGCTGTATTGATTTTATCGTTTTACAAACGTAAAGTTTAGGTTAGTATTGTTTTGTAGGATCAAGAAAAAGAGATTAATATATTGAATAAATATGATGAGTAATTGGAAGAAGTGTTTGATAGAATCATATATCAATGGAAAGAGCTTGTTGAAACTAATATTTTCATACCACTTTCTTGATTATTGCTCGAATCTTCTTAAAACCCAAAAGCTATCAACAAATTATTAGGCCTTAGGTCATAATTCGAACAATGCGTTGGATAGATGAAATCAGTGTAACTTTTAGACGACCGATGCCTATAGTAGCCTGAAAAGTCAGATCTACTTCCACCATCCGGCTTCAATGTTTGACTGTTTTATCGGCAACTAGTGGTCTACTTCTATCTCCGTCGGCCAGAAAGCATGTAAGAGGATACGGATAACGACTTTTTTGCGTAGCAAAAGAAAATCTTCCTGTTAATGTATAGCTTCTTTGGAAAATTCTTGGCTACCTTCATGTCGGTAATAGATTGATTTCTGAAATGAAACCTTGTTTCATAGTGCACTCTCGCAATTAATCAACTGATGTCAGGAATATGGAATGACTGAACGATCGTTTACTTATATTCAACATATGATTTTCTATTAAAAAATATAGTGATTGCAATACCAACTAACTTGATGCATTGATATTCCGATCGCCATTATTTTTTTTATTAGAAAGCCATATAATGAATATTAGTACCCAATCGGTCTTATATTTCAGATTTATGTTATAAGTGAGTGACTTGCGAGAGTTCACTATAAAACACGATTTTATTGTAAGATTTGATCTATTACTGATAGATTCGTATTTAGCGATGGGCCGCTTGGTCTAAGATCCGTCAATATATTGAAGACTTCATTTGGAAAAAAGTTCAGTCCGAGTCAACATTAATATGGTATATGGAAGCAACATAAAATTCTGACTGGTTGTTGGTTTGAATTAAAGAATTTTTAGAACTTTTGTTTCGTCAAAAAGTTTACTGCTGATGATGTTCAATTTTTCTCTAGTCTTTGCACGAAGGAAGCAGAAGCAACATTATTACGAAATAAAAGCTTGCAGAAACTCTTGAAACAGCATCTAGACCAACCTAGAATTTTATGCTGACTCCGAATATCATGTCACTGTGGACCCCAATTGAATTTTTTCTAATTGAAATCTTCTAAACACTGATGAGAAGACACAAAACTACTTCTTAAGAATAATTTTTTTCATTTTGAAAAAAGGACCTAGTTTTGAAAATATCTTAGCACAAATAAATCCTATAATCTTGACTTCTTTTTGTAAAGATGCATGGTGAAATTCTCTACAAGAATAGTGATGAGAAATCCTATCGATTCAGTTTCATAATTTTTCTTTTCATAGGACTAAAAGTGAAATACTGTATGATATTGAAATGTTGTCTTATTTTTGAGAAAAGAATAAATAGAAATAACACTGATCTTTTTGCATAGTATATCGTAATTATCATGAATAGTTTCGTTGGAAATAAGATAAGCGTTATTTTTTAATCTTATTTTCATCTTTACTTTTCGTATTTCTCATTATTATTTATGTAGAGAATTTTACGATGCATCTTTGCAAGAAAAATCAAGATTAGACTACTCATCACTGCTGAGATAGTTCTAGAATATTAAATATGGCTATCAGTATATCTCACTCCAGAGAGAAATAATAATTTTTTTTAAAATTAACTTATTGCATTTCAGTATTTTTAAAGAACTGCTGATAATGATTAGTTGTTATTAGTAGTTCATACGATAAATAGTATTTTGTTTCATATAAAACATGTACTTTGAAGGTTCGAATGCAGGTGAAGAGAAAATCCACAGCCATACCTTCAAGTCATTGGAAATCTCAGAACTGTATCTCATAGATGCGCGAGTTTTCATTACCACTGAATAATTTTTCTTGATTCAGGAAGTCTAACTCTAAATAACAATTTCACTCATAACTCTAAACATCATTATTGTCGCAACACAGTTTTAAAGATCATCCAAGAAAGCCGTAAAAACCTTAAAGAATCATGACTGTTTTGATTATTTTGAAACTAGACTACTGAGATAACATGATCATATATTGATGTCAAGAACCCATTTTTTTGGACAAAATTCCAGTGTAACTAGAGAGAGATAGATCTTAATATCTGCAATTTTGTTCAGGAAATCTAAAAAAAATCATGTGTCTGTATGAGATAACTGCACAAATCTCGATTAACACTCACATTGATCTGATTTATAAATTATTTTATAAAATACAAAAAAAATTAAATTAGACAAAAAAGTTAATCTAATCAAATACTAATTTTATCAAGCAAAAGTAAAAATTTCAGCTTCGATATTAGCACAGATCACTAATATCTCAAAAAAAAAGTTCTTTGAAAAAATGACTGTAGTAGTCCACGCTACTGTTTCAAGTAAAATTTTCGACACATTTATGTGATACAAATTTTTATATTTTTGCAGCTGCAACACTTGCGAAAAATTCTTTTGCATGTTGACAATTTTCTTACATTGGTTCACTCGATGTTCACTCAGTAAACAAACTGTGGCCATCAAAAACTCACCATGGTTTTATTTTGAATGCAACATACAAAATTCAATCAACAGATCTACGAAATAAAAATTTGAATAATAGATTTCTTTTTGCAATTCTTCATAGAGTTTCATATACACACATATATATAAAGAGAGAGAACGGTGTGTCAAACAGAAACAGAAACAGAAAAATGGATACAATCAAAATTGAATGGAAGAAACAATCTGGTGAAGCTCACATTTTGCCTAACAGACAATATATTCAACAACAGTCGATTCTCAAACTAGATAGTCAAGAAAAAAAACCTAAGAAAAAAAAAGTTCAATTCAAGTTTCGTACATCAACTTCTAAAGTAGAGGCATTTGAAAATACAGAACATAACCATACAAAAACACATCGATTACAAGGATCACTTTTCGATGATCATGATTATACTTCACGATCAAAAAATGGCTTCACTACTGAGTAAGATTATATACCTATAATTCGAGCATAAAATCTTTTTCTTGTAGATTGGTAGAAACCGATGATAAACAAACTTGTAGTACCCGATCAAAAATTGTTACAACTATTATTATAATGATCATTATTGTAACTGTGGCTATTGTTATCGGTGTAGTAGTTGGTGTTTCCAAGACTCAAAAAAGTATAGTGGAAACAACTACAATAAATAATCAAACTTCATGTAAAGGCTTATGGACTACTTCATGAAGGATGGCCTGTTAAAAACCACATTTTGTCACTCCTACTTCACCTTGAGCTTCCAGCGTTCAAAATATTTTTGACAATAAAGAGTGTCCAGAAAGTCCTTAACTAAAGAAAAATTTAAATATCTCTGCAATATTTTAGTTTAGTGATCTGATATTTTTATCACTGATAAAGGAATGTTCATAGCTCATATTCACAGAAAAACCATTGACAAAATCTGTTTTGAAGTATCACAACTGTCTTTAACAAAGAAATGTAATCATACATGGATTATAAAAAGCAGTACATTTATTCCATCGGCCAGAATAAATGACATATTGAAGACTTTGATTAATTTTCTACACTAATGTTGTTTGGTCAGAAGTTTGCTCAGCAAATACTTGTCTTGTTACTCTTTTTGCATGGAAAGTTTCATCAACAAATATAATGGAGTTTGTTGAGAAAAGTGCTATATTGCTTTTCTGTTCATAAGCCATGAAAGGTTATAGTTCTTTGTTGAATTCAATAGTAATGCCTCAAAACAAGTTTTGGCAAGGCTTCTTCTGCGAATATGAGCTATGAACACTCTTCTATCAATAGTCAAAATACCAGCTCATGGTACCGACATATTACGGAGATATTTAGGTTTTTTTCTGGCTAAGACCTCCCTGGACACTCTGCATAATAGAAGAGCATGTATCAATAACGTCTCGCTATAATATATCAGCAACTTCCTCATTGCAATTTGAGAGAATTTAATAACCGAAGATGAAGATAATATGTTTCAGAATTAATAGAATCAAGTAGTCTGCAGTGATTAGGAACAGCAACTACATCATGTTCGATATTTTAAAACTACAAGGATTATATTATCAATTTTTTTTTGTACCAAACGACTAATATACTCTTTATATAAGTGACTTATTCGTAAATAATGCGTTATAAAATTCTCAGAAGCCGCTATTCTCAAAACTCTGTTCAAAACTAAGTTAACTTGAAAATTTTGGTAAATCATGTTTAAAAAACGTCAATAAAGCGTCATAAGGATCACAATGTTCATGTATATCTGACTACTCCTTTACCTCAGTCCAGTGTCCGACTGTTTTCATTTGCCCATCTTTTTCGGAGGTCCTTTCTAAATAGCAAATTTTCGTACTGTTTAATTCAAATATTTGACTGGAAATGTTTTCTTAGTTTCAGTGTCAACAACAACTTTAGTGAGTAGTATTAGTATAGGAAATCAAAGTGGACCACCTTGTTCATCATATACAACCATTGATGATCCATCACGAAATATCGCTCAATCGTCATTATACGCTTTGTGTGATAGGGGATCACCATTCAATACGAGTAATGGTGGTTCTTGGATTCGATTTATTGGTACTGGTGGTACTATACTTCCATTAACAGCACCAGCTCAAGGTCGCTGTGGTGCTTATATGGTAGGGTGGTTCAATGGGACGTTACCAACAACAGTGAATACTGCAGTAAACGGAACAGCATGCTTTTCAATGAATTCAGTTCCTTGCCCTTTCTCCGTCTTTATATTAGTAATGAACTGTAGTGGCTTCTATGTTTACTTTTTACCACCTGCACCTGCTTGTAATGGACGCTATTGTACAACATGACTGTATCTTTTTTTTTGTAGAACTGAATGTGTGACTTTTGCAATAATTTTAATAAAATAGACTTTATGGTGATGTTTTAGATAGAAGAGTCGACAGCATGGATAACGTTATGTCTTATTTAGCTTCATCATATTATGAATCTGATCGTTCACATCAAAAGCACTCGTTTTTATACCACACTACGAGAGATGTAATTAACGAGACACAGTTAAGGCAGAAGGAAGAAAAAAAGAATGTTATGAGAAGAAATAATAAAGGAAGGTTAAAGATCATGTATGACCAGTCAATTCAAGTGATAGTAGATAATGGCACGAGGTAAACTCCATCGCGAACATTGCATTTATGCTGATATAGATGGTTTAATTTCAGCATTTAAATCATCAATTACAATTTGTCTTTCTTTGGAATACATTTAACAGCTGCATTCTGTATGCATAGTTATCAGTTACATATTTGTTTTGTATCTGTTCACAAACATAGAGTTCGATTTTGTTTTGTAAGACCTAGAGAAAGAAATTGAGGTGTTGAACAAGTGGGATAAGCAATGGGAAGAAGTATATGAGAGAATCATATATCAATGGAAAGAGCGGGCTGAAATTAACATTTTGGTACTAATTTCATGAAATTTTGATCAAATTTTTAAACCCAAAAGCTATCAAAAAAGTAATGCACTTAAGGTTATCACACTCATAATTCATCTGATAGATGAAACCGGTCTGAAAATGTCAGATCGAACCCTAATGCCTAGTACATTGATTTGACGAGCCCATCGGTAAATGCTAGTCTACCGATAATTTGGACCGTACTCAGGAGACGTCTTTGCATCTGCGTTGGCGAAAAAAACACCTGGACAAGATACAGATGAACTTTTTTGCAAAGCAGAAAACTATTATCCGGCTGCTGGGCAGTTCCATTGCAAAATTTCTGGCTACCTCTCTGTGGGTAATAGATCAATCTTTAAAATGAAATCCTGTTTCATAGTGAATTGGCGCAAGCTATTAACTTATGTCATGAATCTGATATGCATGAATGATTGTGTACTAATATTCAATATGTTATTTTCTATTAGAAAGGCATACAATGAATACTAGCGCACAATGGTTCAGATATTTCAGATCCATAATATAAGATGGTAAATTGCAGGAGTGTACAATGAAACATGATTTCATTGTAAGAATTGATCTATTACTGGTAAACTTGTATTGACTGGCTGCTCTAAAATCCATGCTGATATCTGTTACATCTATGATTTATCATATACTAGTGAATTTAATTTGAAAATAAGCAGAGAAGATATAATACTACTGAAATTATGAATTTGCCAGTCATTGGATGAAGCTTCATTCCCATATATAAATCACTATTTTGTTGCATATTGAGATATTTATTATATTCATTGTTCATTGTTTTCTTTTAATAGCTGCAAAGTCATATTTTTCCAAAGTCAAAAAGTTTATCTACTGGAAGTATCTTCTATGTACACTATTCTTGATATGTATGTTTATCTTTTTACTCAGTATTTAGAAGATTTCAATTACAAAAACGTTCAATTTGATTCAAAACTAATATGGTATATGGAGGCAACATAAAATGTTGGGTTGTTATTGGTTTAATTTAAAGAATTTCTAGAATTTTTGTTTCGTCGAAAACTTTACCCTTAATGACGTTCAGTTTTTCTCTGGTCTCTGAGATGGAACCAGAAGCAATATCTCTGATAAAAAAAAATTTTAAAATTCTTTTTAATCGTACCTAGACTAACTCAAAATTTTCTGCTAACTCCGAATATCAAATTATTGTTGACTCAGATCGAACTTTTTCTGATTGAAATCTTCTAAATACAGTATAAAACGAAACAAAACTGCACGTGAAGATTAATGTGATTAGATGAAAATATCTCACCATAGCTGAATCATATAATCTTGGTTTTTTTAAAAGAAGCGTCGCGAGATCCTCTATAAGGACACTAATGAGACTTCGTATCGAGTTAGTTTGATGTTTTTTCTTTTATACGGCGAAAAGTGGAACAGTGTGTGATAGTGAAATATCGTATTGTTTTGAGAAAAGTATAAATGAAAATAGCATTGACCATTTTGCATAGTATACCGTGATAAACTGTTATTATTCTATCAAACTGAGGATAACCAGTAAGTTGATCATCAAAACTGATGTCTGTAACAAAATGTATCAACAGTGCATACTAATGAAATATTTCAAGAATGATCTATAATAAGATTCGAGTCGTTTATACCAAAAGATTGGTGACCTTCCTAGTCACGAGACGTAAATCCATTAGATATATTCCATGTCGAATAGTGTCAATTAAAATATGAATTATAACAAGGGTAAAATACAAGAAGGTATGAGGAAGTGTAATTGGACAAGATAATGGCGATCGTATTTTTCATGAACATTCATTATTTTCATGTTTCTTTTATTTCTACCGATTTTGAAAAGAAAAACTTTATTTTCATTTTCTCCCTTTCTCAGAATAATAGGACATTGGCTTCTGTAAAATTTCTAATTTTCTTCAATAAGTTTAGAAAACTTGTGGCTCTAAACGAACTGATTGTACAAATATAGGTTACAAATTCAAGTGCTATGAGTTATTGACTTGAAAAAACATCTTAAATTGAATGAAGAGTTGATCTCATCGAGTTCTATTTCATCAAGAAAAAAGTCAAAACTCTAGTTTTGATATCAGCATAGCTTATTCGTATGCCAAAGAAAATTTTTTTGAAAAACATGACATAAGTAGTAAATCTTGTAAGTTCAAGTGAAAATTTCGAACAATCTTTCTAATACAGGTCATTCTATTCTCTCAGTTTCAAGATTATTATAAAAATTATTTTTCTTTTTTAACAACGCTCTGTCATCTGTTTACTCAATGTATATTCGGAAAAAATACATGATCATCAAATGTTCGCTATAATTTTGTTTTTCACGCAATGCACAACATTCAATGAAGAGACCTATGAAACAAAAATTTGAATAATAGAATTTTTTTATAGTTCTTCATGAAATTTCATGCACACTTATACACGCATATGTATATATAAAGAGAGAGAGAACAGGGTGTCAAACAGAAACAGAAACAGAAAAATGGATACAATCAAAATTGAATGGAAGAAACAATCTGGTGAAGCTCATATTTTGCCTAACAGACAATATACTCAACAACAGTCGATTCTCAAACTAGATAGTCAAGAAAAAAAACCTAAGAAAAAAAAAGTTCAATTCAAGTTTCGTACATCCACTCCTAAAGTACAAGCATTTGAAAATACGAAACATACTCACTCAAAAACTGATCGATTACAAAGATCAATTTTCGAAGAACATGATTATACTTCACGATCAACAAATAGCCTCACTGCTGAGTAAGACTATATATATGCATAATTCGAGCATAAAATCTTTTTCTTGTAGATTGGTAGAAACCGATGATAAACAAATTTGTAGTAGCCGATCAAAGATCATTACAATTATTATTGTAATGATCATTATTTTAACTGTAGCTGTCGTTGTCGGTGTAATAGTTGGTGTTTCGAAGTCTCAACAAAGTATATTAGACACAACTACAATCGATAATCAAACTTCATGTAAATACGTTGTTTCTATTGTTTGATTCAGATATTTGAACGAAAATGTTTTCTTAATTTCAGTATCAACAACAACTTTAGTGAGTAGTATTAGTATAGGAAACCAAAGTGGACCACCTTGTTCATCATATACAACCATTGATGATCCATCACGCAATGCTGCTCAATCATCATTATTCGGATCATGCGATAATGGATCACCATTCAATGCGAGTAATGGTGGTTCTTGGATTCGATTTATCGGTACTGGTGGTACTATAATTTCATTAGCAGCACCTGCTCAAGGTCATTGTGGTGCTTACGTAGGAGGCTGGTTCAATGGTACATTACCGACAACAGTGGGCACTGTAGTTAACGGAACGGTATGCTTCGTAATAAGCCCATATTCTTGCCTTGTCTTCATCTCTATATCAGTAATTAACTGTAGTGGCTTCTATGTTTACTTTTTACCACCTGTCTCTGTTTGTAATGCACGCTATTGTACAACATGACTGTATTTTTTGTAGAGCTGAATGTGTGACGTCTGAAATAATTAAAAAAAGAACAAAGTTTACACTAATACAGATGTTTCAGTTTCAACATTGAGATCATCAAATGCAATTTTTCTGAATTTGAAGTGTATTTAACAATTGCAATGTGTATGCATAGTTATCAGTTTTATGCTTTTTATTTATTGTTTTAGAAACATAGAGTCTAGTTTTGTTTCGTAAGATCAAGAAAAGGAAATTGATATGTCGAACAAATACGATGAGCTATCGAAAGAAGTGCTTGATCTTTCATAAATGGACCAATCAATTGAAGACTAATAGGAAATCCTTGACTTGATAATCGAACTGGAAAACTAAGTGCTGGCAAGCCTGCAAAACAAAAAACAGAACTCAATGAATTGTTTGAACAATTTGAAAGTATCTACCAGCTAGATTAGTACCAACAGTAAATATATCATCTTCACTAAATATATCATCCGCTTGCTCATATTCAGCAAGTGTTATTGGATCATTGGAAACCACTGGTGATAATAAACAATCAATCTTATCTTCTTCAAATACTTTCTTATAATCATTCATGACACCACGTCTTACTCGTTGACTTTGAACAAAATATTTATCATAATTCCTATTCATATATATACATAATATAATATTCAAAATGTAGAAGTAGATAATAATATTTACTCTTCAAGTAAATAATAATTTCCAGCTAGAATACGACCACGAACTCGTTCACCTAAACTTTCATCACGTGTTTTCTTTAGAATATCTTCATACGTATCTCTATTTTCATCAATATTCTTTGTATGATAACCTGAAATATTCAATAGTACACTATTGACTAAGAAAAATAAAAACACTTGATCTAATACCATATTTAATACCATCATATCGAGCCATATTTGAAGCAATTTCACATGAGCTTAATATTGTATAAGCTGCATTTGAATAAGGTGTATATGGTAATTGTACTCGTTTAAATGTAAATTGACCAGTTTCAGTTAATTGATGAACTAAATCTTGCCAACATGAACGATATTCACTTGATAAACTACTGATATCATAGTCCTATATGATGATTCAATGAATGAATGAGGAATAAGAAAAAAAAAACAATTCTTACATCAGGTAAACCAATAATAATCTTTTCTTTTTCTTTTGATAGTTCTTTCGATGTTTTAAATTGTTCAAATTGTTTTGATAGTAGAGTTGCATCTGCACCATCAGGACCAGCGACAGCATCTAATTTTGTAAGATTATTTTACAGAGAAAAAAGAGAACAAAAATAATAAATTACTTGTTGCAAAAATTAAATCGTCAATATTTCGAGCAAAAAACCCGGGTGAATCAAAAGAATTGACTAACGCAACCATACCAAATCGTGAAAGTAAACCATATGAGGGTTTAAATCCATAACAACCACATCGTGCAGCTGGATTTCTTATTGATCCACCTGTATCTGACCCAAGAGCTCTAGAATAATACGATTAAAAATATACTAAACACAATCATTTATTTTTCACTTTTACATTGATACAAAGTTTGCTGCCACAGCAGCTGCACTTCCACCTGAACTTCCTCCAGCTATATGCAATAATGTTTTATTGTTTGCTTCACTTATTATCTTTGTTTTTGTTAAACTCCAAGGATTTGCTACAGGTCCAAATGCACCCCAGCTTGCTACACTGAAGAATATCTACAGTTAATGAAAGATATTCTCTATTTTTTTTTTCAAAAACCTAAAGCATACCCCATAGAAAATTCATCCATATTTGCTTTTCCCATAATAATACAACCATGATCAATTAATCGTTGTACAATAGTACTTGTATAAGGTGAACGAAAATTAGCTAACATTTTGGAAGCACATGTTGTAAATGTATCACGCAAACAAAAATTGTCTTTTATTAGAATTGGACGACCATATAATGGTGAATTGTCTTGAAGTAAAACCAATATATAATAGATTAAATGAAAACGTAAAGATCTTTACTTTTCTTTTCAATCGAAAGTTGTTGTTCAGTTTCAAGAGCTTTTTCAAAACAATCATTTGTTAAAATATTGAGAACTTTATAATGTTGAAGAGCATTGATAGCCGAACGAACGGCTGAAGATGTTTTATTTGACAACATTTGAATAGATAGAAAAACTAGAATAAAAAATTACATTTTTTTCTATCTGTGAGAAAAGTATTCTTAAAATAATTGGTTTATACATTAACCATCAAGTTTCTCTAATAAAAACCTAAAACATTTTTAGGTGTCGCTATTTGACATGATTGTATTCGTTCTTTTCTCGTATTTTTTTAACAAAATCTGTGTTAATAACCGAAGTGTATCATTTATTTATATTTTTTTGTTTTTCGTCCTTTACATTATCTTTTTCAAACTATGGTAACAATTTATACAGTTGATTCATTTACACGTGAATTATTTAAAGGTAATCCAGCTGGTGTTTGCACTTCATTTCAAGATGTATCTTCATCGACAAATCTTGATATATTATTTCAAAAAATTGCTACAGAAATGAATATATCTGAAACAGCTTTTATAACAAAAGCAAATGAATCATCATCAAATTCACGTTATTTTCTTCAATGGTTTACACCAACAAATGAAGTTGATCTATGTGGTCATGCAACATTAGCTACAGCTCATATTCTTTTTGAAAAATATCTTCAAAATTCTTCAATTGATGAATTAATATTTGAAACAAAAAAAGTTGGAGAATTAAAAGTTAAAAAATGTGATAATCAAGGTCGTTTACAACTTGATTTTCCTATGGGTAATCCACAACCAATTGAACTAAATAGTGAAATAATAAATGAAATAAAATCTAAATTAAATATAACACAAGATATTCATGCTATTGAATTATGTAAACGAACGAAAAAACTTTTAATTCATATTTCTTCCATTGATGATAATATAAAACCACAACAAAATTTAATTGATATTGATTTTCCTTCATCAATACGTTCATTCATACGTGGAATTATTCTTACAAGTGACTCAAAAACATATGATTTTATTTCTCGTTATTTTGCACCATGGAATGGTATACTTGAAGATCCAGTTACTGGTAGTGCTCATACGGCTCTTACAGTTTATTGGTCTCGATTATTAAATAAAACAATTCTTAATGGTTATCAAAAAAGTGCTCGTGGTGGTCATATTGAATGTGAATTAGATGAAAAAAATCAACGAGTATTTTTACGTGGTTACGCTGTTACTGTTATGCAAGGTCAATTGCAAATTCAAAAAGATTATTTATTAGAAAAAAAAGATTATTCAGAATAAATTATCATTAAAAAAACATAATGGTCACAATTCATTATATAATTATAAGAAAATCCAGTTTATCTGCATATTAAGAAAAGATAGAAATTAAAATTTTTTATCAAATAAAATAAATTGAAATTTACTGAGTTTGTATATCAGGAAGCAACGGGTTTATGTATGTAAGTACCCGAATCCTGCACAGATCCGATTGCTTTTTCAGAAACATATGGCACTCTCTTTGTACATAAATAAGTGAAGCACCAAGATGTTGATTATTCTCAAAAACAACAGTGATTGTTTAAAAAGATGGTCAAACCAATAGTAACACCAAAATTTTGAGCTGCTTAGAATAGTCTTTATTGTAATTATGTAAATAAGATCAAGCACGAATATATTTAATGCAATCAATGTGAAGATTTACTTATTTATAAATCATCTTCAGGTACTAAATCAATATTTAAACATATTAATAGTTATCAAACTAAAGAAAACGACATTTTTCAATGCTTAAATAAGTATCAATCAGTTTTCTGCATCCTCACAGATCCAACCAGTTATTCTTGATCAAGCTAAACAGGAAATTCAAATTACTTTCGTTGAATTTACGGTACACTTTTATCGATTAACCAAAACAATTAATCATAATGGTTTTGAAAATCTGGCAAAAAACAGGTTTTAATGCTTATCTATAGGCAACTGAATATCCACATTTGTATGAAGTAGACCTGCAGCTCCCTAATCAGAAACATGCATAATACATTAAAAATAATTCTTTCAAAGAAAAAATGTTAACTATACAAATCGATCAATGATAATAACGGTTAGACCATCGTGAATCCTATTCACTCTAAATACATTTTTTCAATCATTTACTACTCATTTATCTCTCAATACTATTTCAATATAATCCTATTTGGATTTTTATTATTATTCATCAAGAAAAACATCAAGTGCATCGATTTCAGCAAAATTTAATCCTTTCTTAAAAGTTAAAGTATTAGCAC